CGAATAGCGTAGCCCTTATCGACACACCCCCCCTCCCACGCAGGCTGTCGCCTTCAGGTCCTCCTTCCACTGCTTGCGTCCGAGCTTCCCCCCAAGGTAGGTAGGTACATGTAGACCAGGCCAGGCAGGGCAAAGACAAGGCAAAGAGCCAGACCAGTCCGCAGCGTCCCCATTCAGACAAAGTCTCTCGCTCACCCTTCTGCCTTTCCACCATCTCCACCATCCCCAATCCACACTTCGTTCTCGTCACCCATCGCCTGTCGCCGTCTGAGTTCTTCTTTCCTCCCCTCCCACCCCCCCTCCCACCACTCCCACTCAACCTTCTTCTTTTCCCTCTTTCAGTCTTTTTCCGAAGGCCTTCTGGGTTTCTGCACATCTTGCTGTCATTGTCCCCCTTGTCGGTAGCCTGTCGCGTTCACGTCGTTCAGAGCATTCAACCTATTCGCTGTCTGCCCCCACAACGTCTACCGTCCTCTTGGTCAGGTTTGCTCGTGAGAAGAAAAAAAAAATCCTCCTTGCTTGCAGCTTGTCTACTTTGCATTCGGTCCGCTCCCTCTACGACCTCGACGCCAATTCGATCAACGCAAAGCGATTTCCTCGCCTTTCCCGACGACAATTCCATCCAACAGCGAACTGTCAGAAAGGTTCTTCTTGACGCAGCGACCCTCTCGACGTCATCCGTGTTCGTCGTTCCTACAGCCCGCCTACGCGCGTAACCCAAGTCAATCACCCTTAATCCCCCCCACATCTGCCTTCGCAGACCTCCATACAACCATTTCCCCTACGAGTACTACGACATCATCTCATCGGTATCCTTGAGTCTAGAACGTGTTTTTGTTGGCGCCCAAAAGTAAGTTGATTGTGTTGCGCATCTCCTTTGTTTGTCCCGGCTTGTCTGGCGGGAGTTTCCCATGGTCGCCGTCGCCGATTTGCCCCCCCAATGTCCTCCGACACCAGCTGTCGGCTCTTCCGGGTTGTCCATCGAAACCTCAGCGCAATGGCAACCACCTGGATCGCACGTGGCGGCTGCCTCGCTCTGCAACCGACAGCATGTCTTGTCAACGTTGCCACTGTCTGCTCCGGGCAGCGAAACTACTCGGGGTCCGTCCCCTCCTCAACGAAACCCCTCCATGCATGCACTTGGATCCTGGATCTTCGACCAACCCGTCAGTGTCGGTCGATCACGTTCCGACTGCCGACTGCCTGGACCCCACGACCTGCCGCCACCGAGACGTACGCTACTACTTGCTGCACGACGGTCATCGCGAATGAGGCGCGAAAGCCAGCGCACTGCAGACTCTCTTGCAAACCGGAGAAAAAAGCCTGAACCTCTGTGATGACGTCTCGCCGATCTCACTGAATGCTGTCCCCAGTATCCCCACTGGACGAAATGCAGACTATCACCAACTTCACCTCGGATAAAGGCCTTACCCTAGGCATGGAGTGGCAACATGCTCGTAACAACCCAACAAGTTTGCATTACGTCTGTGCTATTCTTCGAACCCAACACACGACAAATAGTATCGCGTCGGGATACAGCGTAGTGCACCGACAATTCTGCTTGCGCAAACTGGATACAACCTCCCCTGGGATTCACCACATCGACTGGCAGGAATAAAGGCTATCACGAATAGAATACCGAAAATATCGATATGTTGGAGAGCATCTTGACTCGCCTCGACATGGAGAGCAGGTCTGCACAGGCATTAGAGCGATTCGATTCTTTTCTTCGCAACAGACCCACAAAGCCCAGCAACACAGCTTTGACACCTGGATGGACAAGTGACTGGGATAATTGACTGTTGGGGCGGGACGCTGGATAGCACAAGATGTCGTCTTACTGCAATTGCTAACAATTGAAACAGGTCACGACATATTGCAGTCTCGAATATTCGACAATCCGCTGACGATTATCTTGACAAACGCTGTTTCCTCCGGTTTTCGGCGTATTCCTGAGGTTTCAAAAGTCGATTTGGAGCATCTTCTTGGAGTTGTTCGACGGCGGCTTTTCGCATTTTACTGAACGACCCTATCGGAGCGTATCCACTTCCACTTTACCAGGGTGTGCCGGCGTCAAGACATTCGTCTTTGCTACTTTCGATTCACGGAGTACGGGGTCAGTATACAGGTCGTTGTGCTCGATTCTTTCATCCGACTGCCCTTCGTGGTTTGACAAATCAGTTTTCTGTTTTGCGAAACGGTGTAACGGTATGTTTCTCGCAGTTTGATGAATTCAGTTCAGAACGAGTTGGGCTCGAAAAATACTCAGGGGACCCGACCCGGTGACCCTGAGCGTGTGGTGTGGTTCGTTTGGTCACAAATAGGCCACGACTGGTCACAATTCTGTGTGGTCAATGTGAACCAGAAGCACAAGCTAACGGGACATTGTCAAAAGATTACGATACAAGAGTTCCGACTTAACGTCACATTGAGATCAAGGCTTCTGACTTGTAAGTGGCTTCTGCAGCCGACATCGAATGCGTGATGCATTTTGCACCAGATGCTTACGCAGAGTACAGAGTTCTGATCTTGCTTTCTACGTCCAGTCGATACCCATCTGCTGTTCGTCCAATGTAAGCATACGCGGATTGTCTCTTTATGTTAGCCCTCGTATCCACTGTCCACACGCTTGGTACACCCATCGTGCATATGCGTCCTCTTTATGAGCCCCTCGTTCCCACTGGCTGTCATGGTCATGTTCTTAGTTGCAAGGCATTGCAATCCCTCCAACGCCTTCCCTATCACCATTCAAGGCCTCTCCTCGCCTGTCACACTCAGGCCAGCCACATGTGTGGGCAGGACCTCCGAGATCAAACCTTCCCACAAGGTTTTTGGTATAACCCTTGTCGGGCACCTTTTGTTAGGTTCTGTTGTTAAGAAGTCACTGTGGCGATGCGTCTTTCCACATGGCAAAACGTTGTTACACCGAGAATCTCGTGCAGGCAGCAGTCCATTCCAGTGAATGAGGCAAGAGCACGTTACTCACAGAGAGAAGGACCAAGCGCTTGCCCGAGCAACTTGTTCCTTCTTGCCCAGTTGTCTATGATCTCGCTATTGCTTTATGATTCGCCCGTGCCTTGTGAGTCCAAGCTGACAAGGTCAACCACTAGCTTCTCTACCCACAAATTCCGCTTCCTTCCGAAGTTTACCCACAACAGCCTTCAACCCTTAACCCTCCACACAACAAATTCCGAAGTTCTTCCGAGCTTCACTTGCACATCACACGATTTTACATCCTCACTGCAACCAGACGGAAACAATGGACGGCATGCAGCCCTACAACAACGGCACTCCGGGTGCCAACGGCGCAAACGGAGATGGTTATGGAACTCCCGTTGCTGCCGGCATGGGTTATCCGCCCAACGCCAACGAGCTCACTGGCCCTGGCAACTCCCCTGATGGCAACAAGACGACCCTCTGGTAAGTCAAGGCTTGCATGCATTGTATGTTGTAGCATTGCTGACCTCTTTCCTTCTTAAGGATGGGAGAACTCGAGCCTTGGATGGACGAGAACTTCATCAAGGGTGTCTTTGCCACTGCCACCGGTGAGCAGGTCAATGTGAAGGTCATCCGTGACAAGAGCTCTGGGTATGTTCCCTCTCCCATTTCCCCTTACAACATGGGACGTATCGGCCTCCTGCGAGATCGGCCATCAGCAGTCGAGGTTCTGCAGGCTCGTTTTATTTCGTGCAGGTCCGACTGACTCGTCTTAGCAATGCTGGATACTGCTTCGTTGAGTTCAACTCGACTGATGCTGCCTCCAAGGCTCTTGCCCTCAACGGCACTCCGGTCCCTAACTCGGCCCGTATGTTCAAGCTCAACTGGGCATCTGGCGGCGGTATCAACGATCGCCGGTAAGCACGATCACACTCAATCCACTGCTTTTACCCAGCTGACTCGTGCTTTCAGTGATGACCGCGGTCCCGAGTTCTCCATCTTCGTTGGCGACCTCGGCCCTGAGGTGAACGAATTCGTCCTCGTCTCGCTGTTTCAGGCTCGCTTCCCCTCCTGCAAGTCTGCTAAGATCATGACCGACGCTGTGACCGGACAGAGCCGTGGTTACGGCTTCGTTCGCTTCACGGACGAGCAGGACCAGCAGCGTGCTCTGGTCGAGATGCAGGGCGTCTACTGCGGTAACCGACCCATGCGCATCTCCACCGCGACGCCCAAGAACCGGTTGGTTTCCTCCCAGGAATTCTTTCTCCGGTCCCATACTGACATGTATAACAGTAACCACGGCCCCTACGGCGCCCAGCAGGGCCACCAGATGCCTCCTGCCATGCACCCTCACCAGCCTCAGGCCTTCTACGGTGTCCCCCCCGGTCCCCAGTTCAACCAGGGCTATGGCGCTGCTCCCCAATTCCAGCAGCAGCAGATGAACCAGTTCACCGACCCCAACAACACTACGGTTTTTGTTGGTGGTCTTTCTGGCTACGTTACCGAGGATGAGCTCCGCAGTTTCTTCCAGGGCTTCGGTGAGATCACCTACGTCAAGATCCCTCCTGGAAAGGGCTGCGGCTTTGTGCAATTTGTCCACCGCCACGCCGCTGAGATGGCCATCAACCAGATGCAAGGATACCCCATCGGTAACTCTCGCGTCCGTCTCAGCTGGGGCCGCTCGCAGAACAACTCGGGCGTTGGTACGCCTTACCGTCCTGCTCCTCCCCCTCCCCACTACTTCGGTCCTCCTGGCCCCGGTGGCCCTGGCTATGGCCCTCCCTTCGGCGGTCCCCCTGGCCCTCAGGGTCCTCCTGGTCCTCCTCAGGGCCCTCCCGGCGGCGGTCCTCCTCAGCAGGTTTGTGTACCCTAAGCATTTCCGGGCTGCATCGATCTGACATTTCTGCGCACAGTAAACGTGACCGGCATTTTCCCCCGACTTTGCACGCTTTCTTCGCCTCTTGCGCTTTCGCTTTCTCACCTCTGACATCCGTCATGGTCTAGCCTGTTGGCGTCTCGGCGAAGCGGAGTTTGGGATCTGGTCAAGACATCTGACCACAGCAGTTCATCCTCGATTTCCTTTGTCTTCACGCGTATGACGATTACGAAGCTTTGCGGCACTCGACAGTTCTTTCTACGCTCACTCGACGCACTGAAGGCTTGGTTTGCAATGCCCGTCCTTGCATACCACTCTACTCTGCCCTCCTTTGCGCTGATTTTGGCTTGGTTTACTCGGCTGCTTATGCTTAGTCTAGTCACACGATCAAATCTTAGTTTCTGCTTTTCCAGTGTTGTTTGCTCTTGCTTGGCGTCGTTTTCTTTCCACACCCCTGGGGCTCCATGCGTTACTTGTGTCTTGCTCTTCTGGATTTGGAACCGCATGCCTTGCTGGAACGGAAAAGCGCCTGTATTTTGTGACATCTACCTGAATGTCTGTGTGCTCATCTTGTGTATCTGCGTACAACTGACTAAACTGGGGCGTTTTCCTGATGATTCTGGTCTCAGCTGGTTTGCTACGGTGCGAATACCTGGGTCCGGCGGGTTGACTTGTTCGAGACGATGCTCATGGGGCGTACCAAGGTGGATAAAGAGTTGCAGAATCAGGACGAGGCTGTCAATATTATCTCTTGTGTTTGTAAGGCCGCTGCCCTCGACTCTCATCTTATGAAAACCCCTCCCCCTGTATTGATATCATGTCATTGTTGCGCGCGAGTATCGAAACGGACCATCTGTTTACTTTATGGAAGCACAGCACTGGAGAAAATTGACTTCCAAATAACCTTGACCCTCAGACGGTCCAAATTGCCACCGCATTGCAAGAACTTGAGCTCGGGGCGCTCTCGGATTGTTTGCTCGTGCCTTGACCCTGCAAGCTATCCGATTTCAAGCTGCGCACTGCAATATTACGGCGCTGCTGTGTACAGCTGTCGCCTAGAGAGGAGAGAGGCATATCGATGTCAGCGCCATGTTTCGATGATCGTTGAACCAAGCATCAAATGATTGCTACGAAATCTCTACTTCAGCCGGTGAAAGATATGTTCATGAAGTCCATCACAATCGTAAATCGTTCGTGCCAACCCGGTCAGCTAGATGCTTACTTTTTCCAACACTCGAAACTCGGCTCCTCAATCGTCTCGATCCGGGTAGTACGACAGCGGGTGGTAGGCGTCAAATTTCTCCTCAATCTTGGCACCCTCCCACGGGCTCGTGTCAATCTCAGCGATGGGGGTCGAGCACTTGGCCGCCAGCGCGGCCTGGGCCTCGGGGCTGTTGTAGGGCACGCAGGGGAGGCCGAGGTCGTCGCCGATGCCGTCGCAGATGATGACGGGCTCGCCGCCGCACGGCGACTTGACGTTGAAGTCCTTGATGACGATGTTGTCGCAGACGGCCGAGTCGGCCGTCGAGCAGGAGAGGCGGGCCACGGCGTTGCCGTAGACGCCCGACGTGTAGCCGGTGAAGTTCTCGAAGCGAATGTTCGTGATGTCCATGCCCGAGGGGTACTTGTTGCACTCCTCGACGGACTTGTTGAAGTAGCACGAGTCGAGGATGATGCCGTAGTCCATGCGGGCGACCCAGAAGTTCCTGCGCCTCTTGTTAGAAACCGACTCGTCAAGAGTTGGGGGGGTCCGGAGCTTGGTCGTACTTGAAGGTGACGTTGTTGACGTAGCCAGTGCCAATGTCGGCGCCGGCCCAGATCTTGATACGGGCGCCAGAGTACTGGGGAAAACGTAAGTATTTTTTCAGAGCTGCGGTGTTTGGTCATGAATAGTAGGGCTTACGTCGCCGTTCATCATCCAGACGTTCTCAATGTGGACGTCGTGCACGTTGGATACTTCACCCTTGTACTGACCGAGAGATCCCATCGACTAGACATCGTCAGCTTGACTGGTCTGGCTATGGCTAGTTTGCTCCAAGCTTACCTGGCCGTGAGTGCCGTTGCAGTACATGGTGTTGACGTAGAGGTCGGAGCTGTTGGGCTTGGGAGAGAAGCAGTCATCGTCAATGTTGACCCAAACGCGCTCGATGGAGACACTAGACGTGTTCATCGTGTTCATAAAGTCGGTGTTTTTGGGGATAATGCTGCCATTGTTGGAGAGAGCTGTAGCAATGACGTCGGTGTACCTGACGTTCTTGGCTAATGAATCGCGTTAGTGAGACAGACCTTGGCAAGCTTGATCGGGAGAATCAACGTACAGCTGACGATGAAGTTGTTCCAGCATGGAGAGTCCTTCAGATGGATACCAGAGACATCCAGGTTGGTGGTGTTCTCAGCATAGAACAGGATGGGTCGATAGTACTTGTTGCCGGGGTTCTACTAGAGTAAGTATTGGGAAGAAGGGGACGCTATTGTCATTGAGACAGCTGGACTTACCAGAATGCTGAAACATGTTAGCTGTCTGTCGAGAATGAGAGGAATTGGCTTACTTACGATCCCGTGCCGGCCTCAAACTCGTTCCACCAACGTTGGCCCTGGCCCTCGATGACACCCTCGCCGTAGATCTTGATATCGTGGCCGCCCCATTTCCCTTTTCATGTTGTCAGCACTGAGTTAGAAGGCCTTCGGAAAGATGTGTACTAACAGAACATAATGGAGCGCTGGAAGGGGTGGTACCATGCGTTCTCCTGCCAGTACTCGACGTCGTTTGTGAACTGCATGGCATCAGCAACCGCCAAACTCGAATATCTATGCCAACCGAACAAACCTTGATCTCGCCGTCCAAGCGGACGTGAATGTCACTTAGGCCCGTCAGATCCAAAACTTTGCCAATGACAAAGGTTTGTCCCTCGGGCAGGTAGAGGGTGCCGCCGTTGTTGGCCTCTTCGACACCCTTCTTGAACTCGGCTGACACGTCATCCTCGTCGTCCTCGGAGGCTCGAATCCTGACGATCTTGCGGCAGCCGGGCTTGGGGTTCTTGTAGGGGTGCTTGTCGCGGAACTCGAGCACATTTCTCGGGACACCTGGCGGTAGAGAGACGGCCTCGACGGCAGCCGTGGCCGCGACGGCAACGAAAGACAGGACCTGTGAGAAGCGCATGGCGGCAGAGTGTGTGATCGGGCGAGGGTCTTCTGTCTCAGAACTGCGATGACACCTTACCACCGAGCTGCATGGTGTGGACGAGGAGCTTGAGCACCTTTATACCCTTGACTCCCAGGCTGTTTATGATTCCTGGTGACCCGCAGGCATGGATTCCCCTCATCCTGGCGGAGGGTTCAGTGGGTATTCCGCTTGAGATACGGGGTTTCCAAGACGGACTGTCGGGACAGGGGGGAACGGTTCCATTGCTACTCGGGCTATCATCGTGGTTTGGGTTATGCGAGTGTGGGGCGGCATGTAGCCAACGCGTCTCCGAGTCCTTTGCGAGTACGGTAGAGAAGGCTGCGAGGAGGCCTTGAAGCTCTCATCAGGGCCCTCCATGAAAGCTCTCCCCGCCGGAAAAGCGATGCAGATGCCGATTGGATGCGGGTGAGGCTCTGGGGAAGCTTGGGGGAGGCCGGGGTAGCTCGGCGATGGCCCTGGTCGCGGTAGATTAAGGTCGTGGGGTGAAGATCCGTCAAATGTTATCGAGAGCCATTGGTGGAAGTTTCATGCAGGATATCTCCGATCCTGAGTGGGCTTGTCCCTGCAAGGCCTGAGTAGCTCGACGGGTCCTGCTTAGTCTGAGCCAAGATGCGTTTTGTTCGACTGGTTGCTCTGATGATATCAGGTTGTCGTTAACCGTTACTGGCCTGGCCTCAAGGTTATCGTTTGTTTAGGTGCGTGATACTTGGGGCTCTGTCTAGTCCTCTCTCTCCGTTCGTGGCGGTCGGTTAGCGGCCTAACTGCCGATCCCGGGGTGACGAGGTGGCGCCACAACAAATCAGGGGTACTTTGCAAAAGAGATGTCCTGGAGCAAGCAGGAGGCATCATGAATCTTTCACTAGACTGCATGGTTGACTTTGGTGAATAGAGACTGAAGATAACGGCGTTGACTGGAAGCGTTGACTGGAAGCTCAAACTATGTTAGTGACAAAGCTCTCCCATCGTGAACTGACCTCAGGCATTGGGCAAACGGATCGCGATTGGTTGTTTAAAACAACTGAGCAAGCAGCCTCGTGGGCTTCCCGATCGCGTGGTTCGTGGTCGCGTGCAGAGAGATGATCTCAAGGGTTTCACATGGGGAAGCGAACTTGCAGTCTGCGATCCCGACTGCTTGGGGCGGACCTATCCTTTACAACACCCCTGGCTTTCCCTGGAGGATGTCGCATTCAGCTGAAGTCACATATGGTTGAGTGCCATCGATCGCCTGCTACTGCAGGTGAGGCTGTCATCGCTATGTGGCTCACAACCTAGCGTGCAAAGTCGGCATCTTAAAAGTCTTTGTTTTCCTTCACGGACTACTACCACGAGGTGAATGCTGTGACAACAGATACCAAGCTGCATGGCACCATTGAAGTTTCGAGATTATAGAAAAGTCATGTATGTTCTTTTCGAGCAGATTTGGCTGTTCAGGAACTAAACCAAACAGTAAAGGCAAGAACCAGCCAGTATCATCTAATCGACAGAGAAGCGGTACCAGCTACAACTTTTTGTACTGTTAGTTGCAAAATTGGGATATGCCCTCAGCAGGAAATTGTGTCCTATTGTACTTTAAGTATGACAAAGAAGTAGGGAGGAATGTTGGTTTCACGACGTCATTAAAAGGTAGCGACTGCAAGTCTTCGGCCACATGATCTGGGCAATTTCCATCATGATTGTACAGGGTTAGGGTTGTTATGGCAGTCGACTTGCCAGGCTCAACTCCAAGCCGCAGCTCTGGCGTCAAGGGTTCCCAGCCCCCAACACCAATGCCGCAGGGTCATAGTCTCCCCCTGTTGAATATGCGAACATCACCAACAATGACGCTTGACAAGGGAGATACCCCTCTTGCACTATAAAAGCTGCATATGCGATAGTAGTCAAGGTCCGTTTCCGATCAGCCAACGGACACTGTCGACGCCCGTGGCGAACCTTCTTGTCTTTATCCGACCCGCCGGGGAAGCCCCTCACTACCCTGCCTCCCGCTGAATGGTGGCATTTCCATCACGGGCCTGGCGCATGCCACTTTACCAGTTTTGCGAGCAGATCAGCCTCCAAGTGCGTTGCCCAGCCTTCAAGACATATCACCGTCATCGGGCTCCGCTTCCCCGCCGAGTCATTTATGTGTGCTCCTCGTGCTGTTCGGGGCTGCTCCCGTGCAACGGTCTTGCAATCTGATCATTAGACTGATGAACGCCTGAGATCCCAGAGGTAGGTCGGCGTGTGAAGGTCTGGAAATACCCAATTAGTTTGCTTACTTTACCCAGAATGTGCCACTCAAGTGTGCAAATCGAGCGACTGATCTTATCGGCCAGTCAGGGCGAGGTCTGATTAAAATTCCTTTATTGAGTTCGGCAAGGACTTTCTCGCGACATTTCCGATACATATCATCGAGGTCATCGCGAAGGCTTCCTATGGTCACAGCATCGAGCATACAAGATTGATGCACGCGGTGACAACTACGTTGTTAAGATGTTGCAAACACCTGAGAGCCATTCGGATTTGGCAAAGCTGCCTATAAGCAAGTCTTAAGCACACTCAAGCACCTTTTTTCGGCTGGCGGATGGTCGTTGTTGCTACTGTTGTCCGTCAGTGTAGGGAGCATGTGTCTATTAGCATGGAGCAACCAGTCTTGATATATACATGTGACGAGACTGACACTCGGACAAGGAAGCTTGAATGGTAAAAGATACAAATCGGTCCCCGAAGTCGGCAGCCATTTCAGAAAGTCGTAGCACGAGAGTCGTGCACAAGCATGGTAGTTGGAAGTTGGATCCATTACTTGCTTTACGGCACTTTCGTCACTCTAATCTTAGCCATTCTGTTCCGTCGCCGATACCTCATACCAGGATAGCGTCGGCAGCGCGATAGTCCTCGGCCAGTCGCTCTGGCCCTAGAGGGCAGATACGCCTCAGTCACATCGTGGACAACCTCTCCGCCACTTGCTTCTGTTATCGATTCCACGCTATTTGAGTGCTACATAGTAGGCACGAGACCGATACAAATTGGTTGTTCTTAAGGCTGTCCGGCACCCACACGTGCGGCTGAGTCGGAGACGGCCATACCTCCTCACAACCTCCAGGTTCTGATTTGCTGAGATCGGTTGTCAGCACGGGTCCTATTACGCCGAGTCCTCTGGGTTTCCATCAGGGGTCAGGAGTAAAACATGGAAATACACCGCCATGTACTGGTCAAATGTTGCGAGGTTTTGCCAGCCAAGTCCTGTCACCTGTCTGTGTCTAGTCCTCGGGTCGAACTTTTCTGTGTCTTTCATTGATGATCAACCGCTTTCGTTGTCGCTTGCCATCGTCACCATGCGAGACCTCGTCTTGTTCTTGCTACTCTCTCGAATCGCCTGCGCCCAAGTCACACAGCATGTAACCGACCTCTCAATCTTTAGCCTCCTCGCCCCATGTGCCTCCTCCGCCATTGCGAACGAGGTCAACACCCTCACAGCCTCCACTGCCATTGGATGTGGCACCGCCGACCCTGAATTGCAATCTTGCATCTGCTCGCAGAGCGACGTCTCAAGCCAGGTCACGAAGAATGTGTCTGAAGCTGTGCAGAGCCGCTGTGGCCAGAGCGCCACGGATGATCTATGGAGTGCCTCTGAGGTGATGAGGAAGTTCTGCAATCCGGGCGAGGCAGTGATACTTCCGACACCGACGACGAATACAGTGACACAGTTCATCACCGACATGGACAAGATGAGCTTCCTGCCACCCTGTGTATACTCTGGGATATCATGGGTCGTCATGTTCTCGGTACAGTCCCCCCACGGCCACGGACCCGAATCAGAGCCCTGACGGAACTGCAGGCTTCGTCGCACTGCCCCCGAAGCGCAAGCCTGTATGCGCCTTGCGTGTGCAGCAAGAGCGACGTTGTTGACCTGGTTCGTTCGAACCTGACAAGCAGAATCCTCGATCGATGCGACAACAGGGAAGACGTCGAATTGGCCGACCAAGTGTACTCAGAGTACTGCGCCATGAATAATGGTACCACAGCCTTTGCGGCGGTCGCCATGCCGCCGGGAGACAGTACGTACATGAACGAGAAAGATGTTGAAAAGCACAGCGTACAGGCACTAACTCGCTGCAGTGACATATCACATCACGGCCTTATCCCAATACTCTTCTCTTCCCGAGTGCGCCAGAGAGGCTGTTTCAAGCGCTGTTATTGATGTGAGTCTCGGCAATGGCGCTCCTCAAAGATCGAAAAAGAAGTCTGACGATCGCTGCAGCAAACAAGCTGGAACTGTGCTGCAGGCCCACAAGCCATTGCCTCCTGTGTGTGCATCAAGGAGGGAATGCTCCACAAGGTCTATGAGAGCATGACAGCACGTGCAGGAATCAACTGCGGCTTCACGAACAAGGAGCCCGTGTATTCAGCCATCGATGTACTGAACTACTACTGCAGCGCCGCCGAGAACAAGGTTGTTGCGCTGGTCACTGATACGGCCACCCAACTGTACCCTACAGCCTCGGAAGGCGGAGGAGCTGGGGCGGATGGCGCGAGGCAGACGGGGGGTAATTCCGAAAACGGTGACCAAGGTGAGAGCGATTCAGCAGTTGGTCCGGGAGTCATTGCTGGCGCTGTCGTTGGGGGCGTTGTTGGCCTTGCTGCCATCATTGGGGCCGTCGTCTGGTTTGTGCGGCGACGCAGGAGGGCGCACGATGCTGGGATGGTCGTCGTTGCGCCTCCCGGTGACTACCTCAAGCCAGAGCTTGACGGCAGCGGACAGAATGCACCTCGCGCCGAGCTTGGTGCTCTAGCGAGCAGCTTCACACCGACCCAAAAGTCATTGTCACCTGGCCAGGAGATTGGCGGTTCTGAACTCCTGGGCACAACAGTAGTTTCGGCAGGATGGCACGGCCCGCCAGCGGAACTTAGTGGGGATACTTATGAAGGACGCAGGCTTTGAAAGATGGATAGATTGGTAGATATAATCATGTCGCCGTAGAGGCGTTTATCGTGGGTAGAGCTTGAGCGATACTTCCTAAGCTTCGTAAGAGACCAAAGTCTTTCGGCGTGGCAACCCAGTGCTCCTCCTAAAGCAGCACGAGTTGCCCGCCTTGGTATTCCAGTCGGCTTGAAGTCTTGATCATTTCACCAGGCCAGAGCCGTAGTCCGTTCTTATTACCAAGCTATCAGACTTGCTTCTGCGCGCAATCCATCTGTGGCGTGGTTGTGGCCCCTTGGTAATTTCCTGGCTCCCGCAGCGCTTCCAGCATGTTAGAGCCTCTCTTCCGCCATGATTGTGATGACATCTCCGCCGAGAAGCACCTGGATAATTTGTAGTAGCCGCACTCTTGCCAAAGCTCACATCACACTTTGGCCAGCGGCTTCTTGTTGATTCTCGCCCGCATCAGTGCCGCCAAAGCCGTCGCGATCAGAGTCACCGAGCCCGCATAGAACATGGCTGGCCTGTACGCGTGCAAGCCGACCTCTGTACCGCCGTATGCTTCGAGCAAGGAGCCAGCAATGGGTGCGCCCTACCAATGGTCAATCAATGAAAGCTCCGCGTAGACTAGGCAAACACTCACAAAAAGATAGCCAAACACCCATCCCGTGACGATCATGCCCATGGCCGTGGAGACGCGAGCAGACCCGAATACGTTGCCCACCACCGTCGGCATGGTTGCAAACACACCGCCATTCGTGAGTCCGTTGAGAATGGCAAACACCACCAATGGCGCAAGGCTGGTGGATGCCGGCCACAGCGCGATCATGCTCAGCGCGTTAATGATGAGGAACATCGACAACGTGTTGAGTGACCCTAGAATGTCGCACAGGTAGCCGCTAAGGATGCGGCCGATGGCCGACGAGAAGTTGAAGCCCGCCAAGACGGCGGCACCTGTCGAGCTGCTCAGGCCCATGGACCGTCCGTAAAGGGGGATGAAGAAGGGGGGCACGAATAGGGGGAACACGCCCACCAGGCCCACCAAGAACAGGATGCCGAAGTTGGGCTGCCGGAAGAGCGTCCAGTCGACGAGTCCGGTGGCCTGGATAGGCGTGCGCTCAACAATGAGCCACGCGGCCGGAAGACCCGTGACGGCGAGCGCGATACCGGTGATGCGAAACGCCCATTTTACCCCGTACTGCTCAATCATGGCATTGGCGGCGATGCTCATGACGGCGCCGCCGAGACCGCCGCCCGCGTACACAATGCCGTTGGCCAGGCCGCGTTTCCTCTTGAAGTACTGTGCTGGCGCTAGCGAGATGGCCATGAAGCCCGCGCTCATGCCCACGCCGAGCAGGATGCCCGGCAGGAAGAAGAGGCCGACGGCGCTGTCGGCAACGAAGCCGGCGCCGATCTGAGACACCGAGTTCATCGCGACGCCTGCGAGCGCCATCTTCCTCGTTCCCAGCGACCGCATGGCCCACGCAGCGAACAGGGCGACGACCGACATGAGCGCCGGCGACAGCGAGCCGCAGAATGAGAGCACCAGTGGCGACCCGACGCCCCGTTCCACCAAGGCGCCCTGGTACACGCCCCAGCAGTAGCTGATGCCGATGTTCCAAAAGGCCACGACCGCGCAGGCCATGACAATGACCCAGCCGTAGCCGCCGTCGGGAACGGTGCTGTCGGCCAGGCGCGACGCCTCGAGTGCTGGGTCGGGGTCGGTCAGCCTCGTCGTATCTTCCAGTCGGCCAGCCCGGGTTTGGCGCAGAGTGGACCACCGGCTCTGGCTGTCGAGAGCGCTGGAACGGAGATCCTCCAATCCATATTCAGTTGCCGCCGTTGTCGTTGTTGCAGACATTTTGTCGATTGTCGAGAGATGTGCTGTCGTGAAATCGGTTCAACTCCATCGCTGCAGAGGAAAGGGCTTTATTTCATAGTTTGCTGGACGCTTAAACTACCCTTCCTACCGCCGAATGGTGACTCAATAGGGCGCATGTCGACAAAGGGCGCGTTTGATGATGGAGGACGAATTAATTTTAGTCTCCGTTACCGCATGCTCTCGGCGTAAGCTCTCGGAGTTAGGTTTGACCAACATTTTAGATCATCTTGCCGCCAGCTGCTGCATATACTTGGGGCTCATGACGTCTATTTAATGTGCATATGATGAATCATAAGAGGTGAGCTGATGTGGCCGGAAGTCTGAGGCCTGTAGGTCGGCGTGAACTAGACTACCTAGGTACTCTGAAATGGAGTGCGCCATACATAGATCGAGGGGCGCGGCCTAGCGAATCTCTTTTGTATGCATTTCCTCTCGTCAGCCCCTCAACCTCCACAGAACCCAGCCCAGGAGTCCACCAGATGTGATCCAATGACCCCAAGCCCTATAGCGAAGAGCGCCTCCCCCGCACATCCACACCACCAGTCCATCGCCGAGCCTCACCGCCGACAAGATGGCAGCACATGTCGTGACCGCTTTGTGGTTGTCTTGCCACTGTAGTCCTGCCAGCGTCAGGCCATAGCTGACTTCGCGGATGCCCTTGAACAGCATCAATGGTGACGCGGTGCCGATTGACGTGTCGCGCGAGGGCGAGGGCGAGGGCGAGGGCGTTGCATTTACAGGCTCCAGTGGCAGGCCGACATGAGCGTATTCTTCTGTGGGCTTCGCAATTGCCATGAGTCCGCGGCCGATGCAGGCAGCGCCGAGTATGTATGCTGGGACTTGCGAGGGCGCCATAGTGTCAAGTGAGGTTGTGAATGTTGTAGAAGCGCTGGGTATGGTTGTCCACTGCAGATGCGCCGGAGACAGACTTGATCGCATTGCCGCGTCAGCACGGCAGGATCCTATCTACGATGTGATCCCGCCAACGCGTGAATAGACTTGCTGACACGAGCCATTTCGCTGCGCCTGTCTCCCATGTTCCACATGATCACCAACTGATTTTCACCTTCAAAAGAACGATTCCAGGATGAGATACATTTCAACAACTGACGTGCTTAGGGTCATCAGTGTAGGCATTTTTGAAGCACGTAACGGTTTGCTGGACCTCAATGATGGATTTCACGCCCACGCTAAGCGGCTCACCAGCCATGATACGGAGTTACGTGCATCGCATCCATGATATCTTACATGCCCTCCCTCGTCCCATATCCTAGGTGCCCAATGCAATTTTCGACCTGGGTCACCGCAGCGTAGCCACTACTAAGCGCCGTGGGCACAAATGAGGTCCTGGCGACTTGCACGTAGAGCGTTGTCTACTACGTCTCTAGATTGAAAAGTGACTCGACTACCTCGACTACCCGCACAAGCCGCACAATAGCACCCGGCATCACTCAAAACTTAGCGATTATGAGCACTTGGAGGCTATCTCGGGCACTACTAGTACGGAGCCACGTTGCCAGCATCCTTGTTCAAGATCCAGAGCTGGAGCCAGCAGAGCACTGCCTTGCACGCAAAGAGGATACTTATATCATTGGCAAGGACGATAAACACAGCCGCGCCCGGATAAGACTGTTTGGATATAAAAGGAGGAGGAAAAGACTCGGCGGGGATCAAGGCGGAAGAAGGTATCTCGAGTTTGTAGAAGCTGTCAGAAGCCATGGATTTGGAGGCGGAGCCAAAAAGAGAATGCATGACGGCAAAGACCGACGCAGAGTGTCATAAGATGAGCTGTGAAGGCTCTGTTTTGAATGTCTTTTTTTTTTTTTTTTTTTTTTTTTTTTTTTTTTTTGGCAAAAAGGGGCAATTTCCAAACTTCAAACTCCTGATGCGCAATCATGTCTGGTAACCAATGTCGGATTGCTCTTGTTTGTGGCTACAACAGCCTTGACATGGTTGTAGTCCTGGATTCTTAACATCACAAACTTGGTGGTGTGAAGTGCATTCGCCCTCTGACCAGTACCAGCTCACTCGCCAGCTGATGCAATCCTCTGTCTGCCACCCACCCACTCATACAAGAGATAACAGCAATTGAAACGATCGACTCAAATCAACATACCGCAAGCGGGCGATGACGGTGCAGACAATCAATCTTCAACGGCATAGTGGAGCCAAGTGTTGGCGCACACAAATGCCCGGCGTCAGCCCGTCACCCACGGACAACACGAAGACAACCCGGACAGTGACCACCGGCAGGCCGGCATCCTGGCGCGTTTACCCGCTCTGTTCCTGAGTCCGACGGTTTACGTTGCCATGTGACACCCATCCGCCGCGTCTGAGCCTGACCTGAAAGGAGTCCAACGTCTCCACTCCAGCCAAAGAAAAGGCCACAGATCACGCCACTTTTGACGCATCCCAGGTTGGCACGAGCGGCAACCCCATCACATCACCGAGGCATATCCGCCCGACCGACGAAAGGGAGCATAAGAACGGCGGTGACCCCCCGAGCGCTGGCTGAGTCGGTCTGGTCGGTCTGTCAAACTCCGTGGGGAGAGGAATTGGCAAAGCATCGTACCGCGCTGCAACGTGTACCCAACCGAGATCCCGAGCGACCATCACTCCTCTTCCCACGGGCAGCATCACACAGCAAGTACACAAACAAGGATTGCGACAGGTAGGCAGACCTGGTGCGTCCGCTGGCTTGGGAGGGGCTCCAGCTGATGATGCTGGACAGTATCAGAGCTTGACGACACCTTGACGACACGAGTACACACCCGACACAGCCATACGAAGACCGATTCCCCGACTTCGCAATGTGGATCACGCGACTCGTCTCCATGACCAACTTCGCCGTGGCTTCGTCGGCACTCGGTTTCCAGGTCTTCGTTCTGTACCCCTGGCACGAGCAGCTGCAGCGCGACTTTGAGGACCTCAAGAAGGAACACCTGCGAGTCCTGGATGCCATCCGTGACATGGATGTCGAGGTCAAGCACGAAGCGAGCCGGTCCGTCTTGCAGCGGCTAGGATGGCGCCAATAATGGAGGTCAATTTTGGATGAGAAACGAACAGACGATCTTGGGAGTGTAGAAAACTAGAAATACCCAGTCTTGCGACTCCAATCGATTGCCAGCAGATTCTTAGCCAGCGCTTTTGCAGAATTGCAGTGCCGAAGACCACGAAACGCGATCCATGACTAAGTGATACAATGCCCCATGGTATTGGACAGCAAGTGGTACGAGCAGGCTATCGGATGCTTGACCCTCGACTAAGGCTCTCGCTGGCTCCGGTATCATTGCAAGACAACCCATGTAGTTGCGTCTCTGATGTGACAGATAGAGAGCCGAGTAGCTTGTAGAGTGTATAACACGACGTAGGCACCTGTCGCGGTTCCGACAGCATGGGTGGCCTGAAGCTACGATCAGATGCCTCAAAGAGGAGCAATGCTTCCGTCATGAACGCGGAATATCTGACCTCCGACAACATACCAAGCCACTGCAATCTAGGTTCAACACGCTCATGTTTGCTGCATTGTTCACCACGGCTCGCCTCAACGCCTTCTCTCACTTCATATACCTCGGCCTCCTAACCGGAAGAAATCGAAGCGCCTGTCACAGCATTCACTAAGACTCATGGGTCCAGGAGGGCAAAGCTCCTGAGAAGTACTGAACTCCCTCAGCGATGACGTTCAGGAACCCCCTCACCCGTTCAATCCCCAAGGAATCTTCCCCGGCTGGGGTCCTTGCAGGCGGAGAGACTGCAGCTCTCCCTGCAACAGCACCGAGCCATCTCAGCTTCTCAGACGCGCTGCGTCAATGTCCTCTAAGGGGGCAGATGCCCCGGGCCTTCTATCAGTCACCATGCGGAAACAGGAAGTGGGAGAAGTCTTGCACTCAGACATTCAACTCTGCAAATGCGTATTGCGATATCAACCAGTCATGACTCCAGCACAACGCTTGGCTAACATTGTGAAGCAAGGCCTGCCAACCCTGTCAGAGAAGTAAATGTCACGTCATTGTTGGACTGTTGGCACGACTTTTGCGGGTTCATTAACTGATTTTTTGGTATTCATCTCTTCATCTTCTCGCTCTCGCAAATCATGCTGATTCTAATCATACAAAACTGTAATCGAAGGGCATTGTCACTCCACAATGCCCGGACGCCGGTCTCATGCTCTGTAATGAATGACGGGGTATCGTACCATCTCTGAACGCCACACTAATGAAAATGAAAATGAAAATGAAAACAAACAACGCAATCGATCATGAAAAGCCTCTCCAAAGATGCAGGTGAAGACCAGAGTTTACTGTCCCTTCTCAACATCCCTCTCCTTGGTAGCCTCGTCGGGGGAAATGACGATAGCAGGAGCGACAACGGCCGACTCATTCGCAGAAGCATCCTTGCCGGACTTCTCTTCCTCCTCATCTTCGGCCTTCTTCTTGAAGACCATGCGCCAGACCTTCTTGAAACCGCCGCCGATGGCTCCGAAGAAGCGAGACGAGACCCTGGCGACGGGGCGATAGATGTAGAGAACGGGCACACCAACCTTGCGAGCAATGGCGCCGAACCACGCATCTGGGAAGAAACGGATAAGGACAGCCATGGGCAGGGACAGCATGGCGAGCACGACACAAATGGCCCACTGGACACCGTCGATGGGGTCGGGAGAGATGCTGAAGGCCTCCTTGCCCACAAAGATGATGGCAACCTGAGCCCCGACCATGATACAGTTGATGCCGATGAAGAAGGGGTTGCGCTGGATGCCTTCGAAAATATTGAGCTTATTGTCAAGACGACGGTTGTTGAACTCGTTGAAGATTTGCATCCAGACAAACGTGTTGAAGATCATAGTGTCAAGCTCAAGCTGCTTCTGCGCGTCGCTGGTGTCGTATCCGAGGATGCGGGCGCCAGCAAAGTGCAAGATCAATGTCGCCGTGAGCTGGAAGATGGCCTGGCCGATGATCATCTTCCACATGTTGAGGGTGATGAGAGGAGCCGTCTTGCCCTGCGGCTTGCGATCGAGGATCTTCTCGGTGGGAGGGTCGGTGGCAAGAGCAAGGGCAGCAAATGTGTCCATGATGAGGTTGACCCAAAGGAGTTGCACAGCAGTAAGGACCGACTTCATCTCGGGGTGCGACACAGCACTGATGAATGCCAGAAGGACGGCTGTGATGTTAACCGTGATTTGGAACTACACCTGTTAGTACAAGCCAACGAGCAATCACGGGGCGCATAACATACCTGGAGGAATTTCTGGACGGCGTCGTTGACCGCACGTCCCCACTTGAGAGCCGTCAGGATGGAAGTGAAGTTGTCGTCCATGAGAACAATGGCCGAAGCTTCCTTGGCCACCTCGGTTCCGCTGATGCCCATAGAAAAGCCAACATCGGCAGCCTTGAGGGCGGGCGCATCGTTAGTACCATCGCCAGTGACAGCCACAGTGTCGCCCATGGCCTTGAGGCGAGTGACCAGGATACGCTTGTCCTCGGGCGAAGAGCGAGCCAGGACCTGAAGGCGGGGAAGCTGCTCGGCGAACTGCTCCTCGGTAAGGGTCCTGAACACAGGGCCTTCAAGAATCAGGCCGCCCTCGGTGTAGATGCCGCACTCAGTAGCGATAGCCTGGGCAGTTACGGCGTTATCTCCAGTCACCATCCTGGTCGTGACGCCAGCACCGGCAGCCTTGCGCACAGCCTCTGGGACGCCAGGGCGGACAGGATCCTGGATACCAACGACGCCAAGGAAGACAAGGTTCTTAAGGACAGCAGCAAGATCGGCGTGGCCATCCTTCGACTCGACATGCGAGGGAGGCCATTGCGGGAAGTCGTAGTAGACCATGGCGATGGTACGGAGAGACTTCTTAGCGTAGGCGGTGATGGTAGCGCGAAGGTGATCGCGGTCGTCCTCAGTCATCGAGCTGATGGCCAAAGAGTTGATGTCGACGGTCGAATCGCAGTAATCGAGCAGAATCTCAGAAGCACCCTTGACGAGAAGTCGGTAACCTCCGTTGCCAGGCAGCTTAACCACGGCACCCATGCACTTCTTGCTCGAGTCGAAAGGCATCATTTGCGCAACAGTCTCGTTGGCCCGAGTCTCAGCAAGGGACTGCATACCCATGTGGTTGCGAGCGAAGTGCAGCATTGCCGTCTCCGTCTTGGATCCGATGAAAGTGGCCTCACCATCTTCCTCGCCCTCAAAGGCGGTCGAGTTGATGGCAATGGACTGAACAATGAGTTCCTTGGTAGCAGCAGGCAGCGAGCTAGCGAACTTGACAACGCCAGTGCTCTCATCAGACTCCGACTTGGAGAAGGTGGCAGAACCAAAGGCGCCGGCCACGACAGTCATCTTGTTCGTGGTCAGAGTACCCGTCTTGTCGGAGCAGATCGTTGTCGCGTTGCCCATCGTCTCGCAAGCGCGAAGGACACGGACAAGGTTCTTCTCCTTGAGAAGGCGGGTGGTTGCGAACGCGAGGGCGAGGGTAACAGCAAGAGGTAGACCTTCGGGGACGGCGACGACAATGATCGTAATGGCGACAATCAGGATATCCATAAAGGCAGAGCCCTTGTCGGCAGCGTTGCGGGTGTCTGTATCGAGCTGGGCGACGAAGCGGAAGAGCAGGACAAAGAACAGGAGGGCGGCCGAGGCGAAACCAAGCTTCGCAATGGCCATGGCGAGGCGCTCCAGCTTCTTCTGCAGGGGGGTCGCGTCCATCTCAGTGCGAACAGACATCATGATCTTGCCAAAGCTGGAGTTGGTGCCGACGGAGGTGACGACGAAGGTACCCATACCCTCAAGAACCTTGGCGCCGGAGATGATGAAGGGGTCGAGATCCTTAGGGGCGTTGCCAGTCTGCAGCAGGTGGAAGGCCTGTTCACCGGGCGTCTTCTTGAGAGCATCAGACTCGCCGGTAGCTGACGACTCATCGCACTTGAGATCATGGCCCGTGATGAAGATGCCGTCGACGGGTACGAGATCGCCGGGCTCAAGGTGCAGGACGTCGCCAACGATGACGTCGTGAACATTGATCATGAAAGATTTGCCAGAGCGAATGACCTTGACCTCGCGGTCATCCTTTTTCGCGTTCAGCTTGACGAATGCCTTTTCCTTCTGCCAGTCGTTCAGAGAGCCGACGAGGGTGACGATGAGAATGGCAACGCAAATGGCAACGCCCTCGACCCAGTCGACAGAGGGAGGGTCATCGGGCCCATGCTCGACACCAAAAGTCTCATACAAGCCCAACGCCAGCGAAATGATGGCAGCACCGGTCAGCAGGATCAGGATGGGGTCCTTGTACGTCTGCCACGCCAACTTCCACAAGGGAGTGGCCTTCTTGGCAGGCAAGGTGTTGGTGCCGTAGGCGCTGATTCGGTCCTTGAAGCTCTCGCCAGAGGTTTGATACGGGGCGAGACGCTTGACGCCGTCGGGCAATGCGTAAACTGGGGCCTTGTTGTTCGTGGCGTCCTCGAAAGTCACACGACGGGGGACGGTGGTTTCGTCGATGCTCAAGCCCGACTTGAGATCGGTCTGGAGACCTTTTGCCACACCATTGACGCCGCCAAGAGCATAGAAAGCCGAGAGAGACTTTGGGTTGAGGAGTTTGTTGAGATGGCCAGGGCTGAAGGCGAACGAGCTGTCGGCGACGTGGAAATCGCCTTCAGAACCGGGATCCGGGCGAAGGGCGGACTCAACATCTTCGATATTGATGCTGCCGCTCCTGGAACGTATGCTGGGGGCGATCGTGCTACCGCCGGGGGTCAGAAATGGGTTGGAGTGCGTCGAGGTCGTCGGAGAGGCTGCTATTGTGTCGTCGTCGCCAGACGATCGCGGCCTGGATGTGCTGACGTGAAGGGAGGGAATGGCGAGGCTATCCGAGCGATTCCTCTGTGCTGTGGTGTTGTTGGTTGTGGCGGCCGCTGCAGGCGGCGGAGGCGAAGGTGAACTGGTCCTCCTAGGACTTTCATCGCTGTCTTCTGAAGCTCTTGGGCTGGCCGTCTCAATCTGAAGTACCGGCGGCGTGAGGCCGTTGCCGTTGTTGGAGGACGACGCCATGATGTGTGAGAGAAAGAGGATGAAAGGTTGTGAGGCAGGAGGGGAGGGAGGGAGCGATGCTATGTGGCAGGTGCACCGACGGTATGTCCCTTGCAGAGTTGAATGTGACTGGAGAAGTTGGAGTTGCACGAG